ACCATCAACCGACAACGGAGCAAGAATACAAGGTACCGTCCGGGATTCATTTTCTTCTGGGCGTGCGTTCGTGTTCCCAGTCTGCACAAATTCATTTCGGTCGGCAAAAAGTCGGTAGTCCAACGCCGACATTCCTGCTGCCTCTGGTTGAAATCGACGACAAACCTCATGGATTCACACTCTACTGAGGTAAGCCGACGGCTAAGCACACCATTTACGGTTCATATTTTACTTTTGCTTTTCTGACCACTTGACGCTCCCTCTCTGTAGATGGGCTCCGACCCACAGCAAGAATCTTCCGATGCACAAGTTCCTGCAAACATGGGCTTAGAATCAAGAAGAAACGTGAGGTGGAAGCCGGCAGAACGGATGACGTTCATAGCAGCTTGTGAAACTGCCATTGCTGAAGGTTATCGCCATGGCAGGTGTTTCACGAAACAAGGCTGGGAGCATGTGGTTGCATTATTCAATTCGTCGTCCGGCTACAATTGGACAAAACAACAACTCCGCAACCACTGGGCTACAATGCGTCGTGACCATAAACGCCTCCGCGAACTCTTATCCTGCAACGGGGTCGTGTACGATCTGCCAACGGGTCACATTGTAGCATCCGAGGAGTGGTGGACGCGAAAAATCAGGGTAAGGCGTCAGTTTTGAGTTTGCAGCGTTTGTAACGTTCCATTAATCACCACAACCTACAACCCAGACACAAATCGATGTGCCCTGCAACTATAGGGTAGTTTGTTGTTGTTTATTTGAGCATGCACATACCATGTTGTTGCCGAAAATTAAACTGAAGTTGTTAATCTTGCATGCCATATGAAACGCAAACAAGGTTCTGATTTCTGCTTTTGTTATTTCTCTGCTTGTATACTTTGATTCGCTCTAATATTTGATAACAACTTTAACACAGCTAGGATGCTTCAGATACTTTCATGCCTTGTTAACTTCTTCGAGTGAAACTTCATGGGTCAATAGTTCATCTAGCTAGATTTTCTGTTCAAACAACATTTTTTTCAGTCCATGTACAATAAGGTATAATCAATTATTTTAGGGAAGTGACGAAGGTGTGTTTTCTTTTTTCAACAACTTAAATTTTTAAACGAGGTAATTCAATCAATAAAGCTTCTAGATTTCATCGTGAAACTCGAAATGGATTCATAACTTATTTATGCATTTCTCAACTATTTTAAGGAGGTCTGTTTGAGGTCTTACTCGGAAAGCGACCATCAACCGACAACGGAGCAAGAATACAAGGTACCGTCCGGGATTCATTTTCTTCTGGGCGTGCGTTCGTGTTCCCAGTCTGCACAAATTCATTTTGGTCGGCAAAAAGTCGGTAGTCCAACGCCGACATTCCTGCTGCCTCTGGTTGAAATCGACGACAAACCTCATGGATTCACACTCTACTGAGGTAAGCCGACGGCTAAGCACACCATTTACGGTTCATATTTTACTTTTGCTTTTCCGACCACTTGACGCTCCCTCTCTGTAGATGGGCTCCGACCCACAGCAAGAATCTTCCGATGCACAAGTTCCTGCAAACAGGGGCTTAGAATCAAGAAGAAACGTGAGGTGAAAGCCGGCAGAACGGATGACGTTCATAGCAGCTTGTGAAACTGCCATTGCTGAAGGTTATCGCCATGGCAGGTGTTTCACGAAACAAGGCTGGGAGCGTGTGGTTGCATTATTCAATTCGTCGTCCGGCTACAATTGGACAAAACAACAACTCCGCAACCACTGGGCTACAATGCGTCGTGACCATAAACGCCTCCGCGAACTCTTATCCTGCAACGGGGTCGTGTACGATCCGCCAACGGGTCACATTGTAGCATCCGAGGAGTGGTGGACGCGAAAAATCAGGGTAAGGCGTCAGTTTTGAGTTTGCAGCGTTTGTAACGTTCCATTAATCACCACAACCTACAACCCAGACACAAATCGATGTGCCCTGCAACTATAGGGTAGTTTGTTGTTGTTTATTTGAGCATGCACATACCATGTTGTTGCCGAAAATTAAACTGAAGTTGTTAATCTTGCATGCCATATGAAACGCAAACAAGGTTCTGATTTCTGCTTTTGTTATTTCTCTGCTTGTATACTTTGATTCGCTCTAATATTTGATAACAACTTTAACACAGCTAGGATGCTTCAGATACTTTCATGCCTTGTTAACTTCTTCGAGTGAAACTTCATGGGTCAATAGTTCATCTAGCTAGATTTTCTGTTCAAACAACATTTTTTTCAGTCCATGTACAATAAGGTATAATCAATTATTTTAGGGAAGTGACGAAGGTGTGTTTTCTTTTTTCAACAACTTAAATTTTTAAACGAGGTGATTCAATCAATAAAGCTTCTAGATTTCATCGTGAAACTC